GATAATTACACATACACCATATTTTTTGCTGAACCATTTGAACGTAAGTTGCAGACATCATATCATCTCACTCTACAATCTCCCATTTGCATCTCCTACAGCTATTCTCTTACATAATCACAGTACTATTATCATACCCAAGAAATTTAATATTGATACAATATTATCTAAGATAAAATCCATTTTCAAATTTCCTCAATTGCCCTTTTCCTCAACTGTCCTTTTATCAAGGATCATGTACTGCATTTGGGTGTCATGTCTCTTGAGTGTTTCATAGAACTATGGAACATTCTAACACATTACAGAAGCTGGACACATCTCACAATACGTTTTACAGCTTTTTCTACCTGTCTCTAACCAGACCTCATCTCTTTCAAGGAGATTACAGAATCACAAAATCCCAAAAACAATATGAAAATAAAAATAAAGGACCCTCAGCCCTCCAGACTTTTCCCTACATCGTGCTCTCCTTGTCAACTGCACCCTTCTAAATACCCCCATGGGGTGGCAGTGGTGCCAAGTGGTAGACAAAATGAGGAGCAAAGTCCAAAGTCTGTAAAGGAGGAATCTGGGCCCTCTTAGCTGCAGAAGTGGCCCCGGGACCAATTCCTTGCCAAGCACCCAGACTGTCAAAATCTCCAGGTTTTTCCATGAAAGCCCCATGTCAGGGGCTTGGTACAGAGGAAAGCACACAGGGAGTACACAGTACCATCACTCCTACTCCAGTGCTGCAACCTAGTCCTTCCTTCAGTTATTCCACACGCCTTGCCTGATTCTATCCAGTACAATCCCCAAACATCCCCAGGGTCTGCACCGACCTCTGGCCAGCATATGGAGATGAGTGAAGAAACCTCATGTGAGCTGTCACCTGCTGCTCAGGTTCCACTAAAACCACTCCTCAGAGCTCCCAGCACAGTGCTGGGCATACAGATCCTGGCAACGACCCACACATTGGACAAAATCAGGCTGAAAGGATCATTCACAAGAGTTATGTTGAGGGCATCATCCGACTCTCTTCAACTGGCGCTGTTCCCATTACCCAGAGCTTCCTAAGGATGGGAGAGCAGGTCCCCAGGTGGGGGTCTGTAGATGACTAAAGATACAAAAGGAATGTGCTGTTTTCATAAAGAAGGAAGACAAGACGGCTACTCACCTCGGACCTGGCTTCCAGGAGACCCCAAAACGATTTATCCTCTGGATTCTCCTTCAAGGGAAGTGCAGGGACCTGAGAGGAAAGAGCTGGGGAAGGAGAAACGAGTCACAGCCATCAAGTTCATAGCTGAACTAAAGCCCACCCCACCCCTGGCACAGACCAGAATCAGAGAGGCAGAAACCACCCAGGCAGGTCAGGTGGGTAATGAGCCGCAATAGCCGGCACAATCTGATACAGCACGAGGAGTTAATTCTGCCCCTCTGTGTCTCAGACACTCCAATTAACGAGGAAAAGCGCTGCCATTCCCTTCTTCCCATCAGCGTGCTGGAGTCATGCTCTGCTGGGTGCTCCTGGGAAACTAGCCTGACCTCTCTGGGTATCAATCTCCTCAAGTGCAAATCCACAGACCCACTGATGAAAGAGCGAAGCTGTACCTGTCTCCTCGGGCTTCAGGGCCAGGGTCTCCATGGCGCCCCCTCGGCGGCGTCCCCCGGAGGAGTGGGCAACTCTGTAGCCTCCAGGACCCCAGGTCAGGCCCAGAGGAGCGAGTCCTGCTCCCGGGAACTCAGGGACAGCCAGCAGCAGGGGATGCTCGCAGGGTCGCACACGCACTCACAGCTGCACGATCACACGCACGGAGCCCCCTCCCCGCGCCCCGGCTGAGCTCAGCAAACACAGCCCACCTCACAAGGGGCTCACCCCATCAGACCCGTCCACAGACACACCCACACCCCACACACCACACAACGCCCCAGCGGCTCGTCACACACTCCTCAGGGCTCGGGGACCAGGGCCCGGCCTCGGGCTCGGCCGCCCGGAGCCAGCGGGTGCGGAGCACGGACGGCAGACAGGAGCCGGGACGGAAGGAGAGACAGACTGACAGTCGGACGGACGAGACAGCAGACAGGCCTCCCAGAAAAGAACAGCGACCCCCACAAAGAGAAGCCCAGAGGCCACCGGGGAAAAGTGCGCCTGCGCAGGACGAACGCGAACTACATCTCCCGGGAGCCTTTGCGCCGCGCAGGCGTCGGACTCCATTTCCCAGAGGGCTCCTGGCCCCGGAGCTGCCCTGTCGTCCCGACCCGGACGGGTGAGTAACACAGCCTTCTGGGAAGTGTAGTTCCGCGGCCGGCCACCGAGCGCTCCGGCCGCGCTATGGTGCTTGCTGTCAGAAGCACTGTGCACAGGTAAAATGCCAATAACAGTAACATCCAATATTTATTGAGCACTGACAATGTGCCAGGCACTCTTCCAAGGGCTTAACATGTATTTTCTGGCAGAATGCTTGCAACAGCCCGGTGAGGTTTGGTAACTATTATTACCCCCATCTGAGAGATGAGAAGTCTATGGTACATGTAGGTTGAGCACCTTGTCCCAAGTCACACAATTGGGAGGAGGCTGAGTAGCTCCAGATCTGAGGTTTGTTCCTACTGAGAGTTGGGGTGGGGCGGGGCGGTGCAGACTCATACCCTTCAGACTTCCCACCTTGACCCCAGTTTAGACTTAGTCACAGCTTAGCTGTGCCCAGACTTCCCCTGCAGAGTGCAGCACCAGTGTTCAATAGCAACCCCAGGACAGGAGCCTAGGAGCGTGTGGGCCTGTGTGCACCTGAGCCTCACAAGTCTCATTGTGACTCTGTGTATACATCTATTGGTGTATGTGAACCTATATGTGTGATTGTGAATATCTCTATCTGGTTGTTAGTGTGTGTGTGTGTGTGACTGTTGGACACACAGTGTGTCTTTGCATATACAATGGTACTTCAAAAAGTTTGTGGAAAAATGAAATTAAAAGATAATATGAATCCTTCCATGAATTTTTTTTTTTTTTTTTTTTTTTTGTGGCTGGCCGGTATGTCCATGAGTTTTTGAAGACCCCTTGTATGTGAACTTTGTGTTTGTGTCTCTATGGGTCCTACAGTCTAGATGTTTGTATGTGTGCATAATCACTAAGTTCACTTCCGACTTTGTGTCTCACTGTCTTGATGTGCCTCTAAGAAACAGTATGTACATGCACCTGTACACAGGTGAGTCTGTGAGCCTGTATATGGCTACCGTCTCACAGTTCTGGTCTGTGTCTGGATGTGTGTTTGTGTGCAGGCTTCTGTACATGGGAGCATAATTTGTGTGCACCCGTGTACTTGTTTGTGAGTCTAATGTGATTTTGTATATGTTGGCGTATAGCTGTTGGCTTACAGGTCTGCTCAAAGTGTTTATATATACTGTTGTCCTGTGGTATCCATGGGGTATTGGCTCCAGGACCTCCTGTGGATACCAAAATCCATGGATGCTCAAGTCCCTGATTTGAAATGGTACAGTATTTGCATATATACTATGCACATCCTCTCATATACTTTAAATCATCTCCAGATTACTTGTAACACCTAATATAATGTAAATGCTATGTAAATAGTTGTTATGCTGTAGTGTTTAAGGAATGACAAGAAAAAGTCTGTATGTGTTCAGATGCAATTAAAAATTTTTTTTCAATCGACAGTTGGTTAAATCCGTAGATGTGGAACCCCCAGATATGGAGGGCCAACTGTATGTGCTCACGTGCACATATGTGTGTCTCACTCTGGCCACACAGGTCTGAATGAATGACTAGATGCGTATTTGTGTGTGTGCCTTTGTATGTCCATCTATATGTAACTGCATATAGTATCATCTGTGTCTGATTGCCTGAGTGTGTTCTGTGTGACAGTGTGTATATGTCTTATACATAGGTGAATCTGTAGAAATGTGTGTGTGTGGCTGTTCTCTCACATTCTGCTTTGTGTGTGGGTGAGTATGCCCCTCTCTAACTTTGTGAGTCTGTGGGTCTATGTATCTCACAGGTCCAGTTGTGACTGTGTGCATGTGGGCCTATATGTGTTTCTCTGTATGTCACTCTGTGTGTTGGCTCACAGGGCTCATCAATGTATGCATCCTTGTGTATCTGTACCCCTGCCTACATATATATGTCACTTTGGGTCTCACAGGCCTGGGTGTGTATGAACGTAAACCAGTATGATCCCAAGGATTCTATACTGAGTGCTGTGTACACCCGTGTCTGTATACCCAAGTAACAAGCAGTAGTGAGAGGGATGTGGCCAGCCTGAATAGGGAATGAATTGGAGGGTACTGATATTGCTTGGTCTTGACTTTAGAATTCTGGGGCTAGGAAATGCATTTAAATAAAGTTTATTTAGCCTAAGATTCTCACCATAGAGAGGTCCAAAATCACTTTCTGACCCCTGAGTTCCCCATCCATGTAAAGCCTTGAGGACTGACTACCAGGGCTATGTGAAGCTCCAAAGAAATATGAGTACATATCCCATTTTAAAAGCAAAAAGTGGGCTGGCCTGTTAGCTAAGTTGGTTACAGCATAGTGTTGATAACACTAAGGTCAAGGGTTCAGATCTCCATACTGGCCAGCTACCAAAAATAAATAAAAGCAAAAGACATTTTTTTTTTTTTTAAAGATGACTGGTAAGGGGATCTTAACCCTTGACTTGGTGTCGCCAGCACCACGCTCTCCCAAGTGAGCTAACCGGCCATCCCTATATAGGGATCCAGACCTGTGGCCTTGGTGTTATCAGCACCACACTCTCCCGAGTGAGCCATGGGTTGGCCCAGCAAAATGCATTTTTTAAAATGGAAGATTTTAAAGACGAAAAACACATTAATAATGTTGTACTACATTAAATACTTGGTGTTGCATCCTAAAAAATGTTTCTAATACCTGTTGTAATAATTGCAAAGTAGCTTGTATCCGACCAACACTTGAGCCAATAACAATTCTAAACTTGCAGAGGAATAGATCTCAAATAGAAAGCAATAATCTCAACGAGCTGATTGTCCAGAGCTTACAGACTGGTTCTAAATTGAGAGCGAAAATCCAGGAACAGAGACAGCCAAATAGTGGTAAACCTCAAAATCTGCATAATTTTTTTCTCAAATTCTTGGGGGATTCCTAAACTGTACAAGACCCCAGGAAACTCAAGAGAAAGCATTAGTTGGAGGCTAAAAAGCTGAGTGGAAGTTTCAATGGAATTTGGTATTCAACTTTCACCAAGAGATTTGTTAAATATCTCATGCTTCCCATTGGACCCCCAAAAGGTTTATGCATTAGGGATAAACATACAGCTCAAGTCTGTGGGCTACACCCTAGGACTAAAGGCAAAACTAAAATAAATGTACCTTTAAATGCCTAAAATGAAGCTTGCATGGAATCAAGGTGAGCAATTTAACTGCCAGCCTGAATGAAACTCAAGACTCTTTAATCAGAATATATTCAAAGCATCATTCACAATAGCCAATATAAATAAAAGATTATTAGACATGCAAAAAAGCAGAAAAGTATGACCTTTATTCAAGACAATACAAAAAAGTCTATATAAGCAAACCCACAGATTACTCAGGTGATGGAATTAGCAGACAAAGTGTTTAACACAATTATTATAAATACGTTAAATAATTTATAAGAAAAGATAGTCAAACAAGTGAATGAACAGGGAATCTCAAGTAAGAAATGGATCTTTAAAAAGAAACAAATTGAAAAAATCATTGATTAAAACAGGTTAGTAGAAATAATCCAAACTGAACCATAGAGAAAAAGGAATGAAGTGGAAATAAAAAAGAAAGAAAAAATCTGAGATTTGTGGCACAATATCACATGGTTTAACACAGTGGGCCCAACTTTTTCTCTTCAGGAGCCCTTTACACTCTTAAAGTGATTAAAGACCCCAAAGGACTTTTGCCTATATATTTGCTGCATTCAAAATTAAAACTGAGGGGCCAGCCCGGTGGTGCACCCGGTTGAGTGCGGCGCTTGGGAGCGCAGCGGCGCTCCCGCCGAGGGTTCAGATCCCATGTAGAGACCAGTCCACTCGCTGGCTGGGTGTGGTGCAGGCGCGACACTGAGGGTTGTGATCCCGTTACCGGTCACGAAAAAAGACAAAAAGGAAAAAAAAAATTAAAACTGTGGAATTTTAGAAATATTTACTAATTCATTAAAATAACAATAAACCCAATACATGTTGTATTAGTATCCTAGGACTGCTGTAACAAAGTACCACGAACTGACTGGCTTAAGCAACAAACTTATTGTCGCAGAGTTCTGGAGGCTAGAAGTCTGAGATCAAGTTGTCAGCAGGGTTGGTTACGTCCGAGGGTTATGAGGAAGTATCTGTTTCATGACTCTCCCATAGAAAATGGTGATTTTCTGGCAATCTTTGCTGTCCCTTGGCTTGTAGAAGCCTCACCCCAATCTTTGCCTTTATATTCACATGAATATGATTCCTGTGTGTCTGTCTCCAAATTTTCCCTTTTTATAAGGATATCAGTCATACTGGATTAGGGCCCACCCTAATGATCTTATTTTAACTGATTACCTCTGTAAAAACCCTATCTCCAAGTAAGGTCACATTCTCACATACTGTATGTTAGGACTTTGACATATGAATTTTGGGGGGATGCATAACCCATAATACATCTTAACATAAATGACATTTTAAATGAAAAAAAACCTACATTTATTTTTATTTTAGCTTATCAATATACAATGTAGTTGATTCTCATGTCCCTTTACCAATTCCTCTTCCCCCTCCCTTTCCCCACTCCCCCCATCAAAAAACCCCTATATTTTAAAAAATAGTGAGAAGCACTATTTTGCAAGTTTTGCAAATTTCTTTAATAGAGAACAGCTAGACTCTAATATCTGCTTCAGCCTTCACTCTCTTGTGATATCACATATCAGGCAGATTCTGGAAAATTCCATTGGACACTCATGACAGTATTCTTATGAAATATATGAGAAATACATATATTCCAATGGACCTCCTAAAATGGTCTTGAAGAATCCCCAAAGTCCCTATACAACATTCTGAGAATCACCAGTCTAATATATATGTAAGTGGAGTCCTAGAAGGAGAGGAAATAATGGAATGGGAAAATTATTTGAAGTGAGAGTGGCCATATCTTTTTCCTAAATTTGAGGAAAGAAATCAACTCTGAGATCCAAGAAATTCAGCAAACCCAAGAAAGGGTAAAAGCAAAGAAGATCGAACCTAGTGAAACTACTGAAAACAAAAGATGAAAAGCAACAACAATAAAAAGACACATTTATTTAGGATAACAATAAAAAGAATGATAGCTAACTTCTCATCAGAAACAATGGCAACCAGAAGACAATTGAATGAAATTATCAAAGTGCTGAGGAAAAAAAAATCAACTAAGAATTTTATATCCAGCGAAAAGTATTATCTAAAAATGAAAGGCAAAAAATATATATCTCAGGGCCGGCCCAGTGGCGCACTGGATAGTGCGCCGCTTGGGAAGTGCGGCGGCGCTCCCGCCCGAGGGTTCGGATCCCACATACAGACCGGTTCCCGCTCACTGGCTGAGCGAGGCGCGGGAGCAACACCGAGGCTTGCGATCCCGTTGCCGGTCCCCGGTCCGGTACGGGGGCAACACTGAGGGTTG